AAAGGGGAACTCTGCGGATTCTGATGTAAAGAGGAACTCCACAGACCCTGCTGTAAAGGGGAACACTGCGGACCCTGATGTAAAGGGGAATTCTGTGAACCCTGATGTAAAGGGGAACTCTGCAAAATCTGATGTAAAGGGGAACTCTATGGACCCTGATGTAAAGGGAAACTCTGTGGAACCTGATGTATGGGGGAATGTTGCAGACTCTGTTATAAAGGAAAATTCTGATGTAAGAGGAGCCCCCCCACCCCTTACATCAGAGTTTGCAGAGTTCCTCCTTACCTCAGAGTCCGCAAAGTTTCCCCTTGCACTGTAAGGATGAAGTCTGCTGACTCTGATATACGGGGGAATGCTGGGAACACTGATGTAAGGGGGGCTATTACATCAGAGTTCCCCTTTACACCAGGGCTTGAAGAGTAAATACACTAACATAAGGGGTTCACTGATGTAAGAGTGAGGACACTGATATAAGGGGGACCCTGTTTACAGGCAGCAGAAAAGTGCCCTTTTTTCACTGGCAACACTGCTTGGGGCAGTTAGGCAAATTAGGTGCCCACGAGGCCCCTGTGATTGTGAGGCCTTAGGCGACCTTCTCATTTGCCTAATTAAAGAGCCACCTCTGAGCCTCAGCTACATACAATATACAGGACTGTGTTCCAGCAGTGGGATGTGAACTTCCCTTCGTAGTCCCAGAACAAAATCAAGTTGGGATGACTGGAACTCAGCCTTTCAGAGGGAGATTTGTATTCTATGAATTAAATGAGTTGGAGAAGTGGGCGAATGACATCATGATTTCTCACGCAGCCAATGCCAATCCTGGGGGGGAGGGTTGGGTCATCTGAGCCACTTGGGAGGCAGACTGAAGTTCTATTTTAAAGTAGTTGTAGTGCTCTCCCCCAGAGGGACCGCTAAGAATATGCCCAGGTCTCCCTAATGTAGTTAGTACTACAGAGGCTGCTACTTACAGACGCAGTTCCATGCGCACTGACAATAATGGCTCAGTCTAGGGGATATATTTTTCGACTTTATTGCTGAGTAACCTGAAACAGGAAAGGGGTTAAATCATCAGGATATGTCAAACAATAGCAAAAATAACAGAAGGACAGCTTCTCACTAATTTTCTGTAAGCAGCCTTTCCTGGAGGTAATGGGATGGCTAGTATATCAGGGACTCTATACTAGCAGTGCCAGTCCATATAGCATCTTTTGGCACTTGCACACCCAAGAGTCCACAACAAGGTCTTTACTCAAAATGTCCCAGGAGCATTCACAGGTAGTTCCTCAGTGAGGGAGACAAAAGATCCTTCTTCAGACCTGGACTCCTGAATGATGCCCTCCACCAAACATAATCCTTTACCAATCTTCTCCAATCCCTCAGCTCAGAACTGGAACCCTCCCTGGAGAAGAAAGAACACTTTAGAAAGGCATCCCAATCATTTATCATCCACCCCCCCTTCCTCCAGCCACCTTCTGGTTGCTTCCTTCCAGAGAGCTGGGACATGATAAATAGTCATAATGGACATTTGACTCTCCCCACCCTATATTCTGAAAGCAGATGGTAAAAATCCAACACCCAGCTAGGAAATCCTGACCAGACAAAAAAAAAAAGATTATTGCTCCATTGCAGTGAAGCCAAAACTACATTTTAGCCTAGCAGTCTAACTAGAGGAGGGTGCTACATACAGTTGCAAGAAAAAGTATGTGAACCCCTTGGGATTACGTGGAGTTTTGCATGAATTGGGCATAAAATGTGCTCTGAACGTCATCTAAGTCACAACAAAAGAAGAACACAGTCTGCTGAACATAATACTACACAAACATTAGATGTTGCCATGGTTTAATTGCACATAACATGTAAACATTCACAGTGCAGGGAGGAAAAAGTATGTGAACCTTTGGACTTAATAACTGGTTGACCCTCCTTTGGCAGCAATAACCTCAACCAAACGTTTCCTGTAGTTGCAGATCAGACCTGCACAACGATCTGGAGTAATTTTGGACCACTCCACTTCACAAAACTGTTTGAGTGTAGCAATATTCTTGAGATGTCTGGTGTGAATCGCTCTCTTAAGGTCATGCCACAGCATTTCAATCGGGTTGTGGTCAGGACTCTGACTGGGCCACTCCAGAAGGCGTATTCTGTGCTGTTGCAGCCATTGTTTTGTTGAATTACTTGTATGCTTTGGGTCATTGTCCTGTTGGATCACCCATCCTCTGCGGAGCTTCAGTTGGCGGACAACATAATCCCAAGGGGTTCACATACTTTTTCTTGCAACTGTAGTCTTAAACCCTCTTGGTTTTTCCCACTAAAGTGTCCAGGTCCATCCTGCAAACACACAGTATGTTTGTTTTTAAAACTTTTCCCCAGTCACCAATGAGCAGCAGGCTGAGATGTGTCTCTCATACTGCGTCTCATAGGAGCAGTATGATTCGGCTATGGGAGGTTGCGGGTGCGGGAACAGGTGCGACTCCAGCACCCACAACCAGCCTGTGGGCAAGTGTGAACCTAGCCTTAATGTTGGTGAGTGCATTTTAGCTCTGTTGCTCACGTGTGATGGAGAGGATTTCCATTAGCTGGTGGAAGACACTTTCTCTGCAGTGATATTTAGCACATATTTAGCATTGGACTTTATTTACACTGATTTATCTTTTTTATCATCATTTTTGAGTATTGTGGATGCTGTGTTTATAGCACATGCTTTAAACTTGATTCACTTTTGTGCGACTTGTCATGCGAACTTGGACATCAAAGTCGCATTACAAGTCACAGCCCATTATTTTCAATGGTACCTGTTCAAATTGGTGCAACTTAAAGTCAAAGTGACTTTGAAAAGGTGCCTGCATTACTTCAGTGCGACTTTTGATGTGACTTTAATCCAAAGAATGCAAAGTCAGATCAAAGTTGCCCTGGAAATTGTGCACCTTTGGAGACGTGCTAATGTGAATGGAGTCTTAAGTAGTTGTAAAAGCAGAATGTTTTTCACTGTCATGCATTCTATGCATGAAAGTAAAAAATCTTCTATGTGCTGCCCCCCAAATACTCACCTGAGTCCCCTCTCAATCCAGCAGTGTTCACAGGAGCCTTGGCTATCCCAGGTTTCCCTCTCCTGATAGGCTGAGATAGCAACTGGAACCACTGGCTCCCGCTGCTGACAATCACAGCCAGTGAGCCAATGAGCAGAGAGGGGGACAGGGCCAACCTGCAGCTCCATGTGTCTTATGGACACATAGGACATGGCTCAAGAGCTAGCACGCACCAGTGCCCCCTTAGCAAGTGGCTTGCTATTTGTGGCACTGGTCAAGGAGGAGGAGTCAGGAGCAGCGGTGGGAGACCCAAGAAGAAGAGGATCGGGGCTGCTCTGTGCAAAACCATCGCACAGAGCAGGTAAATATAGCTTTTTTTTAAAAAAAATTGAACTTTTAATATCACTTTAAGCTTGTAATATTCTATATTTGGAGGTGCTGCATTATTTTCTTTGTTGGTTTGTTTGGGTATTATATTTTTACACTCATCATGAAGGTTAAGTACAGATGTTTGCTGTTATATTTATTTTTACATGGAAGTTTTAAACACACCAATTTATTCACCATGGAATGCATCAAGGCAGATATTGATTGTTCCAGAACAGGATGGGAGGTGTGAAAGTTTGTGGTAACAATGGGGTTTATTTACTAAAGCTGGAGAGTCCAAAATCAGACTCATTTCTGCATAGAAACCAATCAGCTTCTAACCTCAGCTTGTTCAATTAAGCCTTGGCCAAAAACCTGGAAGCTGATTGGTTTCTCTGCAGAAGTGAGCTTGAAATTCCACTCTCCAGCTTTAGTAAATAAACCCCACTGTATTCTAGTATCCCATGGTTCCAGAAAGTCTGAAAGTGGTTATCAAATTGAACTGCACAAAACTGCATAGCACTGTAGCACCATTCTTTTCGGTGTGCAAAAAAAAATGAGCAAGTTTGCTGTTGCATGGAGGTGCAATTAGGACTTAAAGTGTTTGTAAAGGCTCAAGGCTTTTTACCTTCATGCATAAAAAACCTGTGTGCAGCAGCCCCTCCTAATAATCACCTACGTCCCTTCTCGATCCAGCAATGTGCACTGGAGTCTTGGCTATCCCGGGACTCCACCTTCTCATTGGCTGAGACAGAAGCAGGAGCCATTGGCTCCCGCTGCTGTCAATCACAGCCAGTAAGCCAATGAGGAGAGAGGGGGTGGGACTAGGCCATGACTCCTTGTGTAAATGGACACATGGAACAGCGGGTACCCCCATAGCAAGCTGCTTGCTGTGGGGCCACCTGACAGGAGGGAGGAGCCAGAAGAGGGAGCGTGGGGCCCTAGAAGAGGAGGATCCAGGCTGCTCTGTGCAAAACCACTGAACACAGCAGGTAAGTATAGACATGTTTGTTATTTTTTATTAAACAAAACAAACAAGCCTTTAGAATCACTTTAACCACTTGCCTACCGGGCACTTATACCCCCTTCTTTACCAGGCCAATTTCCAGCTTTCAACCCTGTCGCATTTTGATTGACAATTGCGCGGTCATGCAAGATTGTACCCATATGACATTTTTATCATTTTTTTCTCACAAATAGAGCTTTCTTATGGTGGTATTTAATCACCACTGGGCACTTTACTTTTTGTGCTATAAATAAACAAACTGCAAAAAATGTGAAAAAAAAAAAGTTTCTTTGTTTCTATTATAAAATTTTTCAAACAGGTAATTTTTCTCCTTCACTGATGTGCGTTTATGAGGCAGCACTGATGGGCACTAATAGGCGGCACTGATGGACAGCACTGAAGGGTACTGATAGGCAGCACTGATAGGCGGCACTGATAGGCAGCACTAATGAGGTGGCACGGATAGGCAGCACTGATAGGCGGCACTAATGAGGTGTCATGGATAGGTGGCACTGACTGGCATCACTGCTGGGCACTGACTGGTGGCACTCCTAGGCATTGACTGGCGCAACTGCTGGGCACTGACTGGCACAACCGATGGGCACTGACTGGTGGCACTAATTGGCAGCACTGCTGGGCTGCACTGATGGGCACTGGTGGGCACAGGTGTGTGGCACTGCTGGGTGGCACAGGAGGGTGCACTGCTGGGCACAGGTGGGTGGAACTGGTGGGTGGCACTGCTGGGCACCGATAATCAGGGCACTGATCATCAGTACCCTGATGATCGGTGCTGATCCCTGCTCTGACAACTGCTAGTTCTCGCCAGTACTTTCTTCGCGCTCTGACAGCATGAGGAAAGTGCAGCCGAGAACCGATGAGGACCGCTGTGAATGGCCTTTTACCACATCTCGTGATCAGCTGTGTCCGTAGGACACAGCGATCATGGAGATTGCCGGGGGCGCACAGGAGAGTGCGTTCTGGAAGAATGTCATATGACGCCCTCCCCAGAACTGGCCGACCGCAGTGTAGCCGTCCTTTGGCTATCTGCGGTTGGCAAGTATTTAATGGCACCCCTGCATATCTGCTCAAGTGCAGCATGTTTCATTTCAAGGTATTTTGCCATGTCATGCATTCCGCACCTGGTGTGACTAGGCCCTACAAGTGCAAATAAGGCTAGGTTCACACTAATGCAGTGCAGTACATCGCATGTAATTCGTATAGGTACCGCACCGTATTCCTGTGCAAATCACATGCGATTTGTGTGCGGTGCGATTGGAGCCATACATTTTGTATGGCTCCAATAGCACCACATCCGCACCAAAAACGTGCAGGACCCTTTTTTGGGTCCACACTAGAATCGGGTTGCATGGGTATTCACACTTATGCAATCTGATTCTGCACATTGCACCGCATTTTGCGGACCGATTTCAGGGTGTTGTTAACTTAACCACTTGTCGTCTGGCTGCTGTATATAAACAGCCAGACGGTGGCAGTCCAGGGGCGGGTTGCCGTTCATAAACTGTTCATGGACTGTGTGAGCTCCCTGGGCGCGCGCAGCACCGCGATTCGGTGCCTGCTGTGTCCTTTGGACACAGTGGAACACCGATTGTCGTGCGGGACCTCTGTGCGAGGTCCCGATCATGTGATCACTGAGTGGCCAATCAGTAATCACATGCAGAGTAGTAAGCAAGATGTCACTTCTGACATCATTGCTTACTATGTGTGAAATCTGTGAATGATCAGAGGTCACATGGTACAAGGCTATTCACAACAGCCTTGTACCATGTGACAAGCTGTGACCAATCACAGCACACACAGTTGTTCTCAATGGCTGCAAGAATGCAGCCAGAATAGGAGAAATGATTGTTTTTACAGCCTTTATGGGTGTAAAAGCAATCAGTGTAAAAAAAAATAAATTTCATCGCCCCCCCAAAAGTAGTAGTGTCACCATGGTGACACTGTACTGCTAGGGTGACAGTATGTAGAAAAAAACAAAATAATAATATGAAAATGTAAAAAAAAAAATTTTTTAAATTATAATTTTTGGTTATAAACTAATTTGGGTTATTTTTTTTTTACTAAAAATAACTGAATAAATTTTGGCCAAGATTTACGATGAAATATTATTTATTTGCAAAAAGTTATTTTTTTTCAAACTTTTTGAACTTTTTCATTTACATAGCAAAAAAAAAATAAAAATCCCAGTGGTGAATAACTACCACCAAAATAAAGCTGTCTCAAAAACATGCTAAAAAATTCATATGGGTACAGTGTTGCATGACTGCGCAATTGTCAAAGTGTGAGAGCGCTGAAAGCTGAAAATTGGCCTGGACAGGAAGGGGGTGAAAGTGTCCGGACTTGAAGTAGTTAACATACACATCCGCAGCAGTTCACATGAATGGGGTGCGAGTCTGATGCGGTGCGGAATTCTCACAGAAAACGCTGCAATTCTGCACATCAGTGTGAACCCTACGTCAATGTGACTACTAGCTGGAATATTACCTTGAATAAGAACCTACTTCACTGATGTGTACTGACTGGCTTTATTGACCGTACTGAACACGTCCTGGTTCTCTCACACACAAGTGCTAACACTAGGCACAGGCAACTGACATTTTTTTTTAGCAGGCCACCAACGACGACCCTCACATTTCTCTTATGACACAAGTTCCCGTCTAGAGCAGTAATAATACATATCAGCCGCGATACACAATGCATGGCACTGGGCGGCATGCAGAAACCAAGAGTAACCCCGCCTCCTCTACACCACGCCCCTCTCACTCTTCTGAAAATGACCCGGCTCTACGCAAAGTCACATGATCGTGGCGTCATCCCTGCGCCCCGTATTTCCTGCACTAGTGTGTCCTTGCCTGGGAGAAACATGGCGCCTGCCGTGCTGAGACTTCTCAAGTGAGTCCCGCATTGCCCCAGTGATAGCAATAAACGTTTGTGAACGTTCTGTTGGCACACATGGAACACCCAGGGAGTCGTGGCTGCAGTTAGTATTATAGCATTAGGGCTCCGGTAGGACTATCAGTTGCATTGGCAGAGTTATGAGTTTGAATATTGAAATGCATGGTGTTTGGGTGGAATGCCATTGTCTCAGTAGTGGAGTTTACTATACCCCTCCCCCCAGGCAACCTGTGAGCTTTCAGTTGATGGAGATCCCTGAGATGCTCATACTGGTTGGATGCTGCTGCACCTTGCTTCTGGGGCTCACCCTTGTGTACGCTAAAGTTGGCTGTACATAGGCACTATATTGCTGAAAGTATTGGGCCAGCCCTCCAAATCATTGGATTCAGGTGTTCCAATCACCTCCATGGCCACAGGTGTATAAAATCAAGCACCTAGGCATGCAGACTGCTTCTACAAACATTTGTGAAAGAATGGGTCACTCTCAGGAGCTCGGTGAAATCAAGAATGGTACTGTGATAGGTTGTCACCTGTGCAATAAGTCCATTCATGAAATTTCCTTGTTACTAAATATTCCACAGTCATCTGTCATTGGGATTATAACAAAGTGGAAGCAACTGGGAACAACAGCAACTCAGCCATGACGTGGTAGGCCACATAAAATTACAGAGCGGGGTCAGCGAATGCTGAAGAGCACAGTGTGCAGAAGTTGCCAACTGTCTGCAAAGTCAATACTTAAAGACCTCCAAACTTCACGTGGCCTTCAGATTAGCACAGCAGTGTGTAGAGAGCTTCATGGAATGGGTTTCCATGGCCAAGCAGCTGCATCCAAGTGCAATGAAAAGTGTCGGGTGCCGTGGTGTAAAGCATGCTGCCACTGGACCCTAGAGCAGTGGAGACATGTTCTCTGGAGTGACCAATCACACTTCTGTGTCTGGCAATCCGATGGAAGTGTCTGGGTTTGGTGGTTGCCATGAGTACTTTCCTGAATGCATTGGGCCAAGTGTAAAGTTGGGTGGAGGGGAGATTATGATGTGGGGTTGTTTTTCAGGGGTTGGGCTTGGCCACTTAGTTCCAGTGAAGGGAACTCTTAAGGCGTCAGCATACCAAGATATTTTGGACAATTTCATGCTCCCAACTTTGTGGGAACAGTTTGGGGATGGCCCCTTCCTCTTCCAACATGACTGCACACCAGTGCACAAAGCAAAGTCCATAAAGACATGGATGAGTGAGTTTGGGGTGGAGGAACTTGACTGGCCTGCACAGACTCCTGACTTCAACCCCATAGAACACCTTTGGGATGAATTAGAGCGGAGACTGTGAGCCAGGCCTTCACGTCTGACATCAGTGACTGACCTCACAAATGCGCTTTTGAAAGAATGGTGAAACATTCCCATAGACACACTCCTAAACCTTGTGGACAGCCTTCCCAGAAGAGTTGAAGCTGTTATAGCTGCAAAGGGTGGGCCAACTCAATATTGAACCCTACGGACTAAGGCTGGCCATACATTATACAATTTTCTTTAGAAATTTGCTTTAGATTTACCAAAAACCATATAATATGAGGTCAAACCTAAACAACACTTTCAATTGTATCCAATTAGGCAGACCCTTGCACTACATAGTTGAAGGTAAATCTAAATAAAATTGTATAGTGTATGGCCAGCCTAAGACTGGGATGCCATTAAAGTTCATGTGCGTGTAAAGGCAGGCGTCCCAAAACTTGTGGTAATATAGTGTATATGTTTTCCCATACAGCACAGATGGACTTCTTTCCTGCTACAGCTATTGTATTTTGACAGCCACCCTGCCAGCTGTCAAAATATCTGAACAGCTGCATCTGATTGGACGCAGGCACTGTTCAGAGGACAGTTATCCCCCAGCTCCTTTGATTTTCAATTGAAGGACGTTGGGCGGGAGGCAGCTGGCAGGGCCACCCATTGAGGAAAGTTTGGGCAGCTCTTGATGAACTGGCTGAATGTTGCTCTGTGTATGAGCAGCTTAATCCAAAATAAACGAAATTGTGACTTTTCTTCACCATCATCCCTCCTCCAGCATTTACATTGGTCTTTCCCCTATAAGACCCACCTCCAGCACACACACACTGGTATTATGCCTCTATATGTCCTTCAGCACACACTTCTTTCCTCTCCATCCCTCCTTTGGCAAACAGATTAGTACTTCCTCAGTGAGATCCCACCTCTAAAGTAGAACAATAGGCAAAACTGTTTTTTTCTTCTCTTCTCTTTTTTTTTTTTTTTTTTTTCATTTTGGATAGAGTAAGGGAGGGTTATAACCCCTGTAAGATTTTTTTTTTCTCACCATCTGTGTCCCATTGTGGAGATTTCCCTTTACTTCCTGTCCCATAACCAAACTGGAAGTGAAAGGAAATCCCTGCAAATAAAGAGGAGCTCCAGTTCCCCCCCCCCCCCCCCCCCCAAAAAAAAAATGTCAGCAGCTACAAATACTGTAGCTGTTGACTTCTAATATAAGGATGCTTACCTGTCCGAGGATCCAGCAGTAATCCCACCTCAATTGGCTTCGGGTGCAGGCAATGGCATCTTAGATAAGGGAAACTGGCAGTTTCCTACTGTGCATGCGCAAGCCGCACTGCGCTTTGCAAACGGTCTTGCAGTCTTCTGGGACCTGTGAAGGAGAGGGGGTGCAAACGTCTGCACAGATCTGACCAGAGCTTTAAGGGAATTCTTTGGGCAACCCCAGGTCACCAGAGCTACAGTCCCTATTGTAAGATTTTTCCTCTATTACCCTACATTTGGGATTTTCGTTTACATTCTCTTTCAATGATAATGGTAAACAGGACAAATAGGGTGAATCTCCCTAATGGGGACACAGACAGCAATAAAAACTGACAGGGGTTCTAATCCCCCTCTATCCAAAACTAAGAAAAAAAAATGTTTTGTCTTTAGTTATACTTTAATCTTTCGCCTGTTTCACTGCTGGAGGACACGTATTAGTCTGTATTCCTCCTCCAGCGTACAGATTGGACTTTTCTCAATGGGATCCCACGCTCAGCACATAAATTTAGTCTTTGGCTGTAACATCCCACCTCCAGCATTCACATTGGACTTTGCTCAGGGAGATCCCACCTCCAGCGCACAGATTGGTCCTTCCCCCGTTAGATCTCTATCCGCACTCCTCTCCTGCATATACATCCTCCTGTCATACCCTCTGTGCTCTTGTCCTGCACTTTTAACCCACTTTCATGCTGTCCACACTGATCTCCTGCACATACTGCCTTCTGTCATATCTACTACACTTCTCTCCTGCATATAACCACCTACTGTCATATTCTGTACACTCCACTCCTGCACATACCCCCCATGTCATGTCTTCCACACTTCTTTGTTGCACCTACCTCCCCATGTCATACCCTCTTGTATATATTTCTCGTGGTCATACCCTCCACATTTTTCTCCTGCACATACCCCTCCATCATTCACACCACACTCCTCTTCTTTACTTACTGCCCTGCCATACACTTCACACTTTCTCCTGCACATACTACCCCTCTCATACCCTCCACACTCCTTCTCCACATATTCCACCCTTTCATACCCTCCACGCTCCGCTCCTCTCCTCTCCTCCTGTACATGCTACACCTTGTCATATTCTCTGCATTTCTCTCCTGCACATACCTCCCCTTGTAATTCCTTCTGCATCCTCTCCTCCACATACTGCCTACTGTCATTCCATTCTCATTAATATCCAGCATATATTGTCCCTGAGACACTTTATTATTTTTGTTTGTTATATGTCCAACATTTCCTTATTTCCCACTTGACTTAAAGTGGCTGTAAACCCTTACATATACCTAGTAAAGTGACTGGCCTAAGGTGATCCCCAGGAGCTGAAACAAATCCTCTTACATAAGTTGTATCTGTTTGTCTATAGTCGTCTTTCCCATACATCCATTCAAAATGCAGAATTTACACAGGATCTCTCAGATATGAAAAGCAGGGGGTGGGGAGCTAAAGGTACATCAGTAAGGAGAATTCTGAGAGCTGATTGGAGGGAAGGGACACACCCCCTTCACACAACTGACAGGAACAGATCTGAGGCTGTCAATCAGCTAGCGGCTCCTCTCCTGTCACCATTTTTCTCCCGGTATCAGGAAAGCTTGTCAAGTGACTCATGCTGATAGCAGAGGAACAAGGCAACAGAGAGAAATGACACACAGTGCTATGGATTGAGACAAGTACACACTATAGAGGGATATGCTTTGTTCATATTTCATATCTGAGGTTTACAACCACTTTAATTCTTAATTGTCCATATTCCTGTGTACTTAATTTCAGGTTCACCACAAAAGTTGCGGTGGCTGGAGGAGCTGTCTATGTGGCATATGACTATGGGTTGCTGGGAAGTGGTACTCAGGGAGAAGAAGCCTTGAACAAGACCACAGCAGCTGTACCTCCTGCTGTTCATGAATGGGCAGACTACTTTGGTTTGCAGGTACAGTACATTGGATCAGAACTTTAGCTGGTTGTGCATAATGCCCATTGTGTATAGAAGTACTTGGTCTTAAAACTTACACTTAATGTACAACTAAAGGCAATTTTATGTCTTTCGTTTTGGACAGAGTGAAGAGGGATTAGAACACCTATCAGATTTTTATAATTTACTCTCTCTATTTGTCATGTTCATTGTTTTAATAAACCCAGGACCCTGCATTCACGCTATCTGGTCTCCCACAGTACACACAACATGGAAATGCAATTATTTTAGTTATTATAAACTGCTAAATACCTTTTCTCATCAGCAGTTAGAGCTCTCGTGACATCTATCAGTGTTAAGCAGAGCACATGTTAAAGCTTGTAGGAGCTGTAGGAGGATGCAGAACCCCTGACCTCTGTCTGGACAGTGCTGATTGGCCCTGTGCTGATCACATGCACTCTCCCAAGAAAACAAAACCTCTCTAGAAATACACACCAAACTGAGCATGTGCAGAGTGTCTCCACATGATATGTCTTATCAGGAGATAAGGGGGGGCCACTGGAAGAAGGGGAGGATCAGAGAAGACATAACAAACAGCATTTTTACACAATGCAGAGGATTAACCCCTTGGTTGCACAATGAGTATAACAAGCATGCTTTACTGCATATACAGACTGATTTTACTGTTGTAGGTTAGTAAAGACAATATCTACCAGTTAATGTAAAGCTGGTTCACAAAGTGCTGGAAGATCATAACACAGATTGTTCATGTTGTGAATGTGCTTCTAATACTTGCTTTTCTATAAACGTATTCATTTCTATAGGCCTGTTTCATGTGTGTTGACACACTTAAAGCAGACAATGAGCAGCTAAAATGTAAATAGTGTAACATTTTGCTATCTAAACAGCCCAACTCTGTGCTAATAATTCCTAGTAAACAAAGTGTAATCTTTAATATACCTTGTGCCTCTAATCTAAAGCAATAATCTACTGCTGCTGTATTAACATATACACCGAAATTCAAAAATCTTTTCAAATGAAAATACATCATCCAAATACATCACTGTAGCCATAAATCTATAAGTCGTAAATTGATGCAAATGTAATCAAATATGCCAGGGTCTCAGTCAAAATACCCAAAACCATGATTGATCCAGTATCACACTCTGTGCACACACACAATTTTGTATAGTCTTTTATAAAGATGTCTTCCCCAGTTATAATCTCCAAATAGTGAGAAACTCTGAACCAAATCATTGTGCTCAATTCTGTGAACCAGATGCACTCTGTGTTCTTGTTTCTCTTCACCAGTCCAAAGGAGAGAAACTCACCAACTTTAATTGCCTCAATTTTACAAATCAGCGAAACTTGCTTTTAGCTGTAGCAAATCGAAACAAAAATACTCCCTCATGTCAGATCAGCATCCTCTCCTCCTCTCACCCTGGCTTAATGCAGTAAAGTAAGTAGGACCATATAGCATAATATTGCTAAAATCACCAGTATTTAATAAAAACAAACATACAAAACAAGCTTCAAATGAACATAACAATATGCACAGAACTTCGGCAGGTCCCCCTGCAATGTTAACACTCAGTCATACAGAGCCAGTGCCGGCCACACTGTTAGTGTATACTTCACCCAGATAACCAGCTCACTGCTGGAAACCGCCTAAGCCGCTAATCAGGATTCCTGCTACATCACATCTCTATATGCAGCTATCCAGATTAGCTTTTTCACTGCTTGACTGTAGAGTGTCGTATCTACACCCAGGTGAACTGGATATTGCAGTGCTAGCCTGGAATGTGACCTTTTGGCTCTGCAATTTAGTGCTTTTCAGACTAAAGTGTACTGTATGGTTGTCCAACCTTTTGACTTTCATGGGCCACATTGGAAGAAGAGGAATTGTCTTGGGCCACACATAAAATACACCAACAGTAAGGATAGCTGATGAGCAGAATGTCAGGCAGATCACAAGTTAAGAACCACTGATATAATGTACCTATCTGAGTAATGAAACTTCATTTTTTTTTTTGTAATATTTTATATTATAAAAGCAAAAGAGGGCAACATAAAACTAGTGCAGTATTAACCACCTGCCGACCACAGATAGCCGAATGACGGCTACAGTGCGGCCGGCCAGTTCTGGGTGGGCGTCATATGACGTCCTCCCAGAAAGCGCTCTCCTGTGCGCCCCCAAGGGGCACGCACCCGGCGATCTCCGTGATCGCTGTGTCCTACTGACACAGCTGATCACATGATGTGGTAAAAGGCCAATCAAAGGCCTTTTACCACGTGATCAGCCGTGTCCAATGACGCGCTAATCACCGGGAAATGCAATTGCCGGTTCTCAGCTGCACTTTCCTCACGCTGTCAGATCGTGAGGAAAGTACTGCCGAGAACCGGCAGTTGTCAGAGCAGGGATTGGCACCGATCATCAGGGCACTGATGATCAGTGCCCTGATCGGTGTCCAGCAGTGCCACCCACCAGTTCCACCTGTGCCACCCACCTGTGCCCACCTGTGCCACCCACCAGTGCCACCCACCAGTGCAGCCCAGCAGTGCCACCAGTCAGTGCCCAGTGGTTGTGCCAGTCAGTGCCCAGTGGTTGTGCCAGTCAGTGCCACCTAGCAGTGCTGTCTGTCAGTGCCACCTAGCAGTGCTGTCTGTCAGTGCCGCCTATCAGTGCTGTCTGTCAGTGCCGCCTATCCGTGACACCTCATTAGTGCTGCCTATCAGTTCCCATCAGTGCTGGCTCATCAACGCACATCAGTGAAGGAGAAAAATTACCTGTTTGAAAAATTTTATAATAGAAACAAACCTTTTTTTCTTTTTTTTTCTTTTTTTTTTTTCAAAATTTTTGCACTTTTTTTGTTTATAGCGCAAAAAGTAAAGTGCCCAGTGGCGATTAAATACCACTAAAAGAAAGCTTTATTTGTGAGGAAAAAAATGATAAACATTTCATATGGGTACAATCTTACATGACCGCGCAATTGTCATTCAAAGTGCGACAGCGCTGAAAGCTGAAAATTGGCCTGGTAAAGAAGGGGGTATAAGTGCCCGGTAGGCAAGTGGTTAAAAACTGTTTTTGGTTTAAAAAAAACTCATCAATATTTGGTTTGGTGGATGTAGTAGCAATTCTCAAGGTGCTTATCCAATATTTTGGTTCTAATTCTGCCCTTTTGTGTGCTTCTTTTACAAAGAATTTTATTATAGAATAGATAGGAGCAAAGAATCAGTAAAAAACAGATGCATTGACCAACAGGAATAAGACATACAAGGTATTCGATGAATATTACAGAATATGTACTGGTGGAGAGACATAGAAATAAACTGTATACTTAAGTGCCAAAAAAAAAAAAAAAAGGGGAGAAAACAATTAGAGAGAGATCAATGACAATATAAACTCTGAGGAAAAATTGTCACTGTATCAGCATACAGAAAGCGGAGAAGATATAAAATGGAGCCTCTCCAAATGTAGATAGGTATTCCACACACAGGGCTCTCAATGGAGTCCAGCATGAGAATTTAGTATTGTGGGTGCGGCACTCAAAGCAATAATCAATCAGTACAAATAGTATAAAAACAGGTTAGACAAGAGAAAAGAGAGGGACGAAGAGTAAGGAGACGAGGACAAAAACAAAAAGGGCTACAGGGCGATCGCAACAGAAAAAAAAAAGAACAAACTAATACGTAAATTTTATATTGACAGAAGGGACTGGTCGAATCTCGATGGTTGGGCTATATCAAGCCAGGGACGCCATGTCTGCAGGAATTTTGTGTGGGTATCCAACAGTATAGCCGTCAGTTTTTCGTTAACCATTATGAAGTTCATCCGGTTTTTGACAGCCTCGAAGCTGAGGAGGGGAGTCTTCCAAGCCCTCGCGATTGTCAGCTTGGTAGCCATAAATAGGTGTGATGCCAGCTGCCGTTCGGGACGGAGTAGGCCCACTAATGGTTTAAATAAAAGCGCTTCATACGGGTTGCGCTTAATGTCTGTGTGAAACATAGTGCGGAGAAGGGCATAAACTCTGATCCACAATCTACAAACCTTAGGGCAAGTCCACCAGATGTGAACCATAGTACCCACCTGTTGACAGCCCCGAAAACAAGTCGGAGAATATGTAGGGATAAAACGAGCTAGACGAGCAGGTGTGTAATACCATCGATAAAGAACCTTATAGGCATTTTCTAGAATAACATTCCTAGAACATTTGGGATATCATGAGAGGAGCGCAGAGTTTCAAAGGTGAGTAATCGAGTGGGAGATAGCATCAAGTGTACATCCTGGAAGCCATTTGCTTGCCACCAGGCAAACTGTCCAGGATTATCATGACCTGAGGGGAATAATGGGTTATGTAGCAAACGTAGTAACGGTAGGTGGGCAGAGATGAGGCCAGCTGAATATTTGATAGAATCCCAAAGACGAAGCGTCAGCGTCGGACTCAGGGATGAAGGTCGATGAGTAAAAGGAAGCCACGGCAAAGAAGAGAGTGGTATCGGTTGGGAGTCAATCAGGTCTACAGTAGCCTACAAGGGGAAATGGTGAGATGCATGGAGATGGGCTAAGGGGGCAATACTGGCCGCCAGATAGTAAGTCTGAAGATTTGGGACAGATAACCCACCCTCGGTCTTACGAGCAAATAAAATATGTTTACTAATTCTGAGTCGAGAAGAACTCCAAATGAAAGACAGGATTTTTCGCTGATGAATACGCAATATATGCGAAGGAACAGGGACAGGTAAAACGCAAAACACATACTGCAATTTGGGAAGATAGGTCATACGGATCACATTGATTCTACCGAACCACGAAAGCGGGCAGTGAGACCAGGAGGACAGCAGCTCTGTCAGTTCATTAAAGACAGCGGGGAAATTAGCCCGGTAAAGTCCTTCGTAAGTCGGGGTGAGCTTAATTCCTAAATACGGCAGAGCCGAGAGCCATTGAAAAGGGAACGAATGTTTCAGGGTAGCCAAAAGTGATGGAGGGAGAGTAATTGACATAGCCTTAGATTTGGCAGGGTTGACATGGAGACCTGAGAGAACTGCAAAGTAATCCAGAACCGCAAGTAAATTTGGCAAAGTAACCCCTGGGTTCATGACTGACAACAATCTATCGTCAGCGAACAGAGATAACTTATGTTAGGAGCCAGCTACATCTATTGCCTTAATATCAGGATGCATACGAATGGCTTTTGCCAAAGGTTCCAAGGCCAAGATAAATAATTTGGGAGAAAGTGGGCACCCTTGTCTAGTTCCCCTACCAATCGGGAACGTTGAGGACTCAAATCCATAATATTTGAGTTTTGCTTGAGGGGATGTATATAGCGAAGAAATCCAACGTAAGAACGAGGGACCAAAGCCAAAACTGAAGGACTGACAGGAGATAAGGCCAAGACAAAGTGTCGAAGGCCTTGTTGATATCTAGAGAAAGGAGCATCATATCAATTTTGCAAGCATGAGCCAAATGTTGTAACTGTAAAATGCGTCTGATGGCATCTCCGGCTTGTCTGTGAGGGACAAAACCCACTGGTCTTTTTTTATCAGACGAGAAAGGAAAGAATTCAAACGAGTGGCTAAGATCTTAGTGAGGATTTTCATATCAATGTTAATAAGAGAAATAGGCCTTTAATTTGCCCAAGAGGAATGATCTCGATCCGGTTTTGCAATCATAACCACATTAGCAGTCAAAGAGTCAGGGGAGTTCGAACCCCCCTTCATTGAGCATTGACCATAGCAGCAAGGTGAGGGGCAAGCACATCAGCCAATTTCTTGTAGTATAAAGCCGTGTATCCATCTGGACCTGGGCATTTGCCCGTCTTCAGATCTGCAATGCATTGCAGAACTTCTGATATTTGGATATCGCGGTCCATCAGGTCCTTATGAGCCTGAGTCAAAGTAGGCAAGGACAAATGGGATAAAAAGTCAGAAATAGACTGAGGGTCAGCCCGTGTAGATCCATATAAAGTCTGGCATGTCGATGCCGGAACTCCTCCAATACCGCTACAGGATTACTTGTGAGAACATTCTGACGAGTACATAGAGAAATCGGTTTGGGGTGATGTGCAAAAGAGCGTAATCTATGTGCCAACATGGAATCTGGTTTATTTTCTTTACTATACCACTTCTGGCGTGTCCAACGCAAAGAGCGCTCAGCCTCATCTGTCAAACAAAGATCCAGTTCCAGGCGGGCCTGATCTAGCAATCTACGGTTCGATGGAGTATGTACCTGCTTAAATTGAGCCGATGCGGAAGCTAGCTTTGATTCCAGCTGACTGTTTATGTTGTCTATTTCTCTTCCGCCTCGAAGCTATCTGAATAATATGGCCCCTAAGAACAGCCTTGTAAGCTTTCCATAACGTTACCAAAGAAGAGCCAGAACTTGAGTTTAGCTGGAAATATTCTTGGGATTTGCGCTGTAGTTCCGCCTGAATCTCCTTTAGCGACAGTAGGGAGTCATTCATAATCCAAGAGGAGTAGGCTGGTTTACAGAAGAGAGATCGACAAACCACCAAAATGGGGTCATGATCAGACCATGGAACCGTGAAGATAGAGACTGAGCGAACCAAGGGGAGATGTTTGCGTAATACAAAAACATGGTCCATTCTGGAATGAGAATGGTGAGGGTGAGAGTAGTAAGTATAAGTCTTTCCCCCGGGGGGTGGAATTCACGCCAAAGATCTACCAGGTCGTGGGTACTTAACGTACGCATAAAGGATTTAGCTGATGCGGAAGAATTAGAATTCTCTGCAGGGTATTTATCTAGTGAGGGATTTAATACTAAGTTGGAATCTCCTGCCATCAAAAGGGTACCCCGTTGATGAATAGCCAAGAGGGAGCAGATATGTGATAAAAAGGGTCCAGGGTTGACATTGGGAGTGTAGTAGGACATTATTGTGACATCTATACCCTGAACCGTGCCCTGTAATAAGATACCTGCCACTGGGGTCAGCAATACGCTTCTCACAAACTGAGTTTTGCTGTGAAAAGCAACTAAAACGCCTGAAATACCTGAGGGTAGCGTGCATCAAAATATTTTGGGGCGGAGGTAGTTGAGAAATTAGTTTCCTGCAGACAAGCAATGTCGACATGGCGAGCCCGGAGAAACTTAAATATCTTTACCCGTTTTTGCGGAGAGTTCATTCCCTGAACATTCAGAGATAACCAGTTCAACGACATAGCGATCGGAAGGAAAAAAAAGATCCGATCTGCCATGATCCCCGAGAGCCCTGAAAATTTTTTTTATAAAAACAAAAAACACACATGACGAGACAAAGAAAAGGTGGAAAAAAGGAAGAAAATAAGAAACCATCTGGTATACAAGCAATATGCATGTGAAACAGTAAGATTAGTACAAACGTCGTAATAATCAACTGTGGGTGAAATACCCACAAAGAGGCTGGGTAGCGGGCAGGACACAAATCCAGACCACTAGCCAGCTCGGAGGGGGACACAATAGTTCACCGGAACAACTCGACATTCGTGAAAACAAGGAAATACTAAGCAAACAACTTAGGCTAATACACCCACAAATAAGTGGTCTATAAGAGGCTTGTAAGGCAGTAAGAATCTCAGCTAGAACCTCAAAAAAGAGGAAACTCCAAAATTACCGGAGGAGCAAGGCCGTCCACGAGCCCGTCCCGTGAACAGAATAACACCTGCGGCCTGAGATCCACTGCCAGTCCTGCCTAACAACAATAACGTAAGCATTTATACAGAACTAACATGGTTGATTAGGCATTAGTTGCAGCAAAAAAAGTGCCACCCATAGCTGCCCAGGAACACCTGAGGGCAGTGTCGCCCGCATCTCAAAAAGTGAAGGAAAAAACAAGTGCGAGTACCCAACCGGACACAGAGGGGTTTATTTACTAAAGCTTCCAGGTTTCATTGCCAAAGCTTCATTGAACAAGCTGAGGTTAGAAGCTGATTGGTTTCTATGCAGAAGGGAGTCTGATTTTGGACTCTCCAGCTTTAGTAAATAAACCCCAGAATGTCAACTCGCAGAAACTTCCTGGAAACGCTGGGCCTGTAAAGATCGAAGAGCCTGAGAGCTACTCTGGCTTGGAGGAGATGATTTAGGTGAAGACTGATAGCCCCACGGGCCTGTGGAAACTGTAGCCTCCTCAGTCGGGGAGCGTGGTAATTCCAGTTTCAGTTCCTGAAAGTGGTGGTGAAGATCCGCAGGTGAAGAAGCTTGGAACTGACGACCTTGAAAGGAGAACGAGAGCTTAAAAGGGAACCCCCATCTGTATTTGATATCAGCTGATTGTAGAATCTGAAGGTAGGGTCTCAGGGTACGACGTTTCGCAATCGTGACTGGAGACAAATCCGCAAACAGCTGAATGGAGTAACCCTGAAATTACAGAGCCGGACGATTCCGAGCCGCCTGTAGTAGACGCTCCTTGGTGCGGTAAAAGTGGAATTTAATGATTATGTCCCTGGGATCGCCCTCCAAGGGCTTAGGAGCTAAAGCTCTATGGATGCGGTCGAATTCCAGTCGCTCCAAGGGGATATCAGGAGCCAGTTCCTGGAATAGAGCGGTAGCAGTACCCTGTAGATCAGTGATTACCTCAGGAACCCCGCGGATGCGGAGGTTGTCTCTGCGGGCCCTATTCTCAGCATCTTCCAATTTATCTTTTAAAATGTCAAGCTCAGCATGCAGATCATCCACCTCCTGCTCATGACCCTCCAAGACTGTAGTCGCTAGATCCATACGTTGTTCCAATTGATGGGCACGGTGACCCAATTCTTTTAAGCCTCTTACCAGATCGGAAAATAATT